AAGATGAGGCATGACAGTTGCCCGTTCGTTATTTTGCCTATGAGACGACCACGTCTATAACTCTGTTTTATTCAGTATGCCCATATTTATTCTTACCACTTGAGTCATTAGTGAGCAGCTGAGTATCCTTTTTAGCTGGTTTGTCACAGTGCCGGCAGTGTGGAATTTCCTCTGTGTTTTAGGTTATCATTATAGTGTTTTAGTGCTGTTAATCTGTATAATTCTTGTTGTAAAATGATATTAGTAGTACAGGTTTAGTGTTTCCCCAGTTCGGCATAGCTCTGCTCACTAGTTATCTTGTGTTTAACGTTTCCGTAACTAGTGTCTTTTCGTAGTTACTTTCCTGTGTGATATCCGTATTTCTATGTGTATTGCAATGTATACTAGGTGTTTGTCGGTAAGATAGGATTGGTGTTGTATCTTTAGTGTCATACTAGTTATTCTTATGTATTTCTAGGTATGTTTTGCCTGGTTTTTGTATATTCCATTACATGTCAATAGTTCATGACTGGACGTCATAGACCAATTCCTATTTTCTGTTCCGTATGTATCTGTATGATATTTTGTACTGTATTTTTATTCGTTTATTGTATTTCTTATTGGAGTATTTGGTTGTATTAAGTTCTTACAGGTGTATCAATAATCTAGTTAGTTAACGTAGTTACTCTGCTGTATTTGGAACCGTAAGAAGATTATTTTGTTATTGACATCTATTGCAACTTCAGTGTCCAAGAAGCTGGCAGAAAGAACCTGAGTGGTGATACCAATTCCGGTACGCCACACCTACAAGCCAGCTGTATTCTCAATCATGACAGAAGGCTGAGGGAAATAGTCAATTGGATATACATAGTAGGATGCCAACCTGTACGAACAAGTTATTAAGACGATATATGCAAGCATGCTGTTTTCTCAATTAAAGCCAATTTAAATTTCAAAACTTAAAATGGAGAAGTCGCTAGAAGAAAGTTACTCTTTTTGAATGTCCACTAGGTAGTACAGTACACGATATTCCACCTAAACTCTCGCTATTTTATTGGACACGAAGTGAATCTATAGATCGTTTCATTATTATCTTGCGTTTCTTGTTAGTATTTTCCTTCTTGATGTTACCGTATGAAAAAATATCGTGTTATCTTATTATTAACTGAATCAATTGTTTAGTAATTTTCAGTGGTAAATACACCAAAAATGTGAAGCCAGGCCCGTCTGCACAGAATGATATTATCAACACCCGATCGCAGAAAATTTGAAGAACTTATTATTACAAAACTTTGCGTTCGAAATTGGCTTGTTTGCCCATTTTAGATTTCTTGACCCGCTTTTATTCTTCATTTGTCTTTGGCGGTCTTTTAATTTTCATTCGTTGAACGACTCTCGCTTTTAACTATTTTATACCCGTAGGCCTAATTATTTCAAATTCATCCTAATCCTACTTTTTTTCGGTTCCCGCTGATTTATTCTTATTTTCATTCATTTACTTTGTTTGTATTGCTGGAAGAGAATGATCGCTGCTGATGCGAATTTTCACAAGTTGTTTCAATGACGTCCCTCCCATAGACTTCCTATTTAGCTCGATTTTGCTTGTTGCTCTTGCTTTTTCTTCCGCCCTTTTCCTTGCAGGTGGTGCATGTACACACCTTCCACTGATTCCACTTCCACTCTTTCTCCTCGACCACGCTGCTTTTCTCAACAATTTGTTTCTTCTTTGGCTGGATGCTTGTATTTTTCATGCTTGCACTATTGCTGCCTATTTCTCGACCACATCGCAGCTCCGTGCTCGCCGTCGTTTTTTCTTTGACAACTTTGCGCACACCACCGCACTGTTCATATTATTTTCTCAATTTGCTGCTCCCAGTTTGTCTTTTTGCTGCCCCCTTCTTCCACCAGCTTGCTCCTTTTTTCCCTGGCTAATTTTTAGACCACCTTGCATCTCCGTGCTTCTGCCCGCCCTTTATCTTTCGCTTGACGGCTCGCGGCTCCTCAGATTACCCCATCTTATTTTGCTGCTGCTTCTCTCGCTCGCCTTTCTACCACATGTTTCCCTCGACCTGTCTTGTTTAATGATTCTTCTCTACAACTCGGCCTAATCCATGGGGTTCGAACCCACCCTGAAGCCTGGCCTCATGTTTGACAAGGTATCTACGCTTCCCCTGAGCTAGCGTTACTAGTGGGAGTCAAGTGGATCAGATTCTAACTTAACAACGTCATGCCTGACAGCTCGCGACGGGGCTAATTACCTCGGAAAAATTACTTAATTAAAACTTACTGTGTTGATTCGGAGCAGATGTATTCATCCCTTGTTCATATGGGAATTGCGTGTGCGCTACTTTACCTGTTGGATGTATGAATATCGCCGACAAGACGCATAAAATAATTTGAGTTGTGAATACCCAAACCAAATTTTGGACTGTCAGTGAAGGAATACTAATACTGGAGAACAGTTCATCAATTTGACTATATCTCTTGTATATCGGGCCGTCCTATTTTAGGCTTACCGTTTCTAAATTCCTAAAATATCTTACGGAAAAATGTTGAAATTGGCTTGGTTCGTAATGATACTCGAGAACTTTTTTTTAACCGGGCTAATGTTGAGGTCCGTGTCGTCTTACCACACGATTTGTTTTCCTAAACCTTCGAGCACTATTGAAAAATTGCCTATGGAGGTTTCTGTGATGTCATATGGCGCTGGTTCTGATTAATGGTTAAACCAGCTCTGACTATGGTAATAGCATAGCCACATGCGGAACCGAGATCAATTGGCTTATCACATTACACCAAATATATAGACCAGTGGATCTCAAATTTTTTCAAGCCGCGCAGCCTACTTAAAAATTTGTCATGTCTCGCGGCCCGCCCATTTCATAGCTGGCTAACAATAAGCTACAAATAACATTATTAAGGCGTGAGTATTTTTTTTTAAAAACAAATTGAGAATATTTAAGATGGAATGTAAAAGTGAAAATTGAAAATGAAATTATATAAAAAAAAGAGCGTGCGAGATCAAATCTAACAAATAATTATATTAATATTTAGCTTCACGCCCGCTTAAAAAATTATCTAAGCCCCCCTCCCCATGTGGGGCGCGCCTCATTGTTTGAGAACTACTAATAGATAGAAAATAAATCCCAAATGTCCGTCAGAAACAAACTGTGTAATATATTGAACAGAGGCTTATGCAGACTGCCGGGAAAACAGTAAATGTATCTTGAATCAACAAGCGATTCGACGCAAACTCATTTCACGATGAGAGTTCATAACCTTAATAACTCTCGCATAAACGAGCTCAATTACTGTCCGAAGTTAGATCACGAAATACAGTTTCGTTTCATTCAATTTCAGCTGATATTAAACTCATCGCACAGCGATTTGTTCAGTATTTGGGAGTTTGCGTTTAGGGAGTGCGTGTTAGATGGAATATTTTTGAGTTTTAATAGCATTTCATAAAGTTAGATTTGCAGATTTTTTTTGCTGAAAGATCGACTAGTTCATTAATTATTATACAAACTGCGAGAATAGCTGCAATTCACTGTCAATTTTTGTTTGTTCGCTTTTACCTTCCCTTGCTGTTAGCAGAATTTTGGGCGCTCCGGAAGTATTCATACCAAGATGACGCACAATCTGAACAACCCCAACCTTGTACAATGCTATGTTCAGATTGTGCGTCAACCCCAACCTTGTACAATGCTATGTTCAGATTGTGCGTCATCTTGGTACAATTTCTTCCGGACCACCGAGTTTTGCCCGCTTTGCTCAAAACGTTTCTTTTGTTTTGTAATTTTAAGTGATCAAACATGTGGAGGTTATTTTAAATAGGGATCTTTAGAAACATTTTCAGCCACATGTAAGTCTGTATTCTACGATTTGCATCACGAAGCACACGCACCTATTTTTTAACAAAAAGATTGATGTTAATACAAAAAAGGCTATTGTTGAACTAAAAAGTAAAGTCTAGTAGGCTAAAATTTCAACTTCCATTTTCATTGAAATTCTAGGTTTAATTTCTTTCAATTTTGAATTCGAATATTTTGTAAAATGCTAAAGATATTATTGCATTGTCTGCCACCCACCGATTACCCAATTGTCTTCAATTACCGCACTTTATTACAAAACTTCTTACGCATTCTAGACACTTATTGGTGAGAAAATGAAAGCGTGAATATTAAAATGTAAAACACATATCAGTGTTTCATTAAAATTTCTCATTTCTAATAATGTTATTACGGAAATAGTGAACACGCGAAAGGAAAGCTTGGCTCGTATGTGACCCGAGTATCATAGAGGCAATTGAAACAAATTGCCTTCAATTACCGTGCTTTATTACGAAACTTCTTTCGCATTTATGGTTACTTATTAGTGAGAAAATGAAAGTGAAGCGGGAATATTAAAGTAGTGATTTATATAATGTATGATACATGCGCGTATTAGTTTGTTTTATTTTTATATTCTTGAACTAAGATAGTCCCTAATATTTTCTGCAAACTGCAAAATAACGCATCAGCGTCAAGAATAAAAATATGAAGACATGCTCGCTCCTGTCGAATAGGGGATGGGGTTTTATCATGAAGGAGGGGAAAGTTGATATGCCGAACCACGACCGCTCGTCCGATTACCAGTCCATGCCGGGTATGGGATTAGTTAGCTAGGTATTTGTTTCAGATGCATGGACTGTATAATACACATAAGACGACATTACCTAATTTGTTTAAAAAATAGAGCGAGTTCATAAACAAATTTTTATGACATAAAAACTGCACGGTATAAATAACAGCCACGATGTTAAAATCAGACCGGAATTGGACATTAGCTAATTTCACTTTATAGAAAAGCAGAGCAGTAGCATGACAAAAGTACTTTGACGTAGAAACTCTCTTTCTTTTACCAATATTATTTCATAGTGTTTTTCAAAGATATAACGATATCACAATATTGCACACATACTTTTGATACTGATCCCAATGTCTTGTAATTGCTTGTATTGCCCAGATATAGAATTATTTAATCTTTAACTTTAACTTATCAAAATGGTAAAACGACAGATGTCCGAAACAGAGACAGAATCGAACCTCCCTGATCTCGATACGGATGCCAATGTAGAATCAGGTAAATTGAGATAATGACTTTACTTTGATAGGAAAGACAGTCAAACGCAACAATATATGCAGGGTTGACACCGGAAAACACAAAAATTAAACTCAGACTTGCTTCAAAATTGGAAATACATTTTTAAAAGATAATCAAAGCCTGTTTCGTTGTAGTAAAACCATGATTTCTTTGTTGTATTTTATCGAATGAGAAATTTACTTGATCAACCCAAATCGAAGTTATACCAAATTCATACCGTTGGGATTTAGGATAAATTGACCGAATCTGTGCAATGAGTTTCTAGAAATGTATTTTAGTGTCTCTTGGGACGCAATAAAAGTAGATTTGGGAAAAATAAAAACCTGTTGACGTAGTCATACTAAAATGTGACGTCACGACCATTTTGCATCATGACGAGGGATGCAATAAATTACATTGAGTTTCACTGTATAGCATGACTTACGGAAGGTAATGCCATTTGATATTTCTTTACAAACTCACTTTACCACTCATTTTAAGTAGGTTATTGAACATTCACATTTCGGGTTCTTAACATTGACTGAATACCCCACTCACTGCACGCTGTTATGATTGAGAATACAGGCTTGCAGGCAAAATTACAACCTGAAAACTGGCATGCCTTCCCTGAAATATTATTAGTTAGTCAATTATCTGCTCCGCTATTTGCTTATGGAAACTCTGTTTTTGAAATTTCTTTTTTGTTTCCTATATTTCAAATTGAAAATGTGTTTACTAATATTTTAGCAGGTTCTTTTGACGTTGAAGAGGAAGAGAAGCATGATGAAAGTCATAGCAAGATCAAAGATGTCGATTCAGGTAATCAACGAAAAAACAAAGAATTGGTGCTGGAGATGTCCTAGCTGAGCAGGGAGTTCCATGAAAATTTCTCCTTAATTAAAATGAGAGACCCATGCTCAAATATATGAGCTCGAAGACCAATGCGAAGCAGCAGTCTAACTTGCCTCATAAAGTAACATTACGGTCAACTTACGACTTTCGCGTAGCAAGAAAGTAACACGGGAGAGGGCGAAGAAACGCTGCAAATAATTTTTTAAATTCTCAAGAGGTCATCACACAAAATTTCGAAGTGAAAAGCGAATCATATAGAGACCTCAGAAAGTTTGGAAATAAATAAAAGTTCTGGTCTTCTAGCTAAAAGTACAATTTTTTACCCTATGTAGCCGCCATCTTCCTGGGACATTTTGTATACCCCTCCTAAAAAATGTTATAACTTTTTGTTCAAACGTGCGAGAACCTTCACTTATATTTCATTGTGAAGCGTGATTTGGCCGCTTTGTGTCAGCTTTCTCTCCAGACGCGTGTGCTATTCGCTCAACCGTGTTGCGTTGAAAATGAGAGATTTTTTATTTTTGAAAAAAGTTTTGTTTTGGTATCGATGTGATCAATCCAAGCGAAACCGACTCGACAACAAAGTCGTAACCTTCCAGACAAGTCTAAACATGCATTTTTAGACGGCACGGAACTCTTATTAACCACTGAAAAGGCGATTTTTTCGTACGATAACAACAAAAAGGAAAATACCAATAAGAACTACAACATAATAACGAAACGATCCATAGGTCCGTTTCGTGTCCAATGAAACAACGAAATTTCGGGTATTAGAACCCAGCGGAAATTCAAAATTAGTAATGGACTTCTAGCGACGTTTTCCATTTCAACTTCCGATACTTTAATTGTGAATTCAGCATGCTTGCATCCCTGTTATTCCGGGATGAGACTTATTATAAATATAAATATGGCTCTAATATGATTGGTCAGTAAGAGTTAACATACTTTATGTACACGTCTTATTATGGACTTGACTCAAAACAAAACCAATAAGACATTTTCGCGCCTTTTTCAAGCATGATATAGTCTTGTCCGAGTGTTTTTGCCCCCGGGTTGTGCGTCACTCCTTTTTGGCATATTTCCAATTTTACGAGTTTTATATCTGTAAATATTTGAAAGCTAAGAAACATACAAAGGAATACGTTATTACATGAAAGAAAGTAATTTGCGCGGCCGAGCGCTCATTTTCCTCGCGTTAACACGTACTAATAATTACCCGCACAATAATAAACAAACAAGAACTGCGTTGACTTCACGAATATACCGCTTCGTTACTCGGCAGCTGTTTGCGCTACACCATTGCCTCTGATATCATTTTGTTAGGAAAACAAACACCAAAACGGCTATAACGCTTGCGAGAGAGTGCCGTTATCATAAGTAGTGTTCAACGGCCATAAAGGAGAGAGGTTCAAATGTTTGTTTACTATCGTCGATGAATTTTCTCACGTACGCAAAATTTCGTACATGGAGCGGTCCATTAGCGACCTCTTGCGTATAGAAAACAATAATACGATTCAAACAAGCCTTCAATGGCCTTTCAAGCCATATTGGTTAGGTGACAAATGCTAATTGAAAATATTTTAAAAATTTGACTAGGGAGTGCGGGTTAGGAAGGATATATATATATATACCGACTTCATGTCTTGTTTGTACAGTTCCTCATCCTACTATGTATAAAAATCAGAAGCTCGGTATACAAAGGCTGATAGAAACATAATTTGAGTAATTTAGAAAACCAGAAGCTACCATAAAGCATATTGATGATTACTTTCGTAATTTTTTCATTGAATTAAAAATTTTCTTAGAAATCTTTTGATATTAACATTTCGTGGTTTTCCATCTCACAAATTCTTTTCAACTTTTGTTATTAGGCGAACGAACATCGAAGCTGGCATTTGCTATTCCAGTACTAATAGTCCTCGTAATTGGATTAGCGATTGGATGGACAATAAGTAAGATTAATTCTTTAGTATGAATCGTGGCCTATTCGAGTTGGTGCTCCTGTCAAACAAGTAAAACATGATTAGCTCCCAATTGGCGTACGATCTTTCAATCTCCCCCCCCTCCTTGATGAAACGTTTTTAATAAGACTTGTTTTCCACGAACTTCTGTTAAAAATAATTCTTTACGTCATAGTTTTTCAGATCATATTAACCTGGGCGGGTTCAAGTTTTGGATCAATAAGTCTTCAAAGCAATAACTATTTTGGATATTTTTTACAAAGCCCCCGCTAAAAAAAACGCCTATTCCACCCATCAAAATAAGAGAAGTAGTAAATATACAGTTGGGGTTTGGATGAATGCAGGTTGCGCTGGAAATTAAAATTATTCCCAAAACCTAGCCCTTACTGGATAATTAGTGGCGGGCGGGGGTATTTTCTCAAATCTAACGTTTTTGCTTTAATGGAAGGGAAAAACGAAGACATGTACATATGTAATAATAAAATTAATGAAAAAATATACAATTAGCAACAGATAGCAAATTATGAAATTGAATCCGAATGGAACTCTAAACGATTAGTTGCCATAGAAACCATAATATTTCGGAAATATGCAATATACCCAATGACGTCAGCTAGGTTTTTAATTCGAAATCTTATTTCTACAGCATCATTAAACAAAGATCAATATTCGAAAGACCAGACCAACTATATAGAAAAACTTAACGCAATAATTGAAGACCAAAAACTGATGATGGCCAACCAAAAGAATGAATCCCAAACAGCTATGGAAAAAGTTGAGGTTTTTTCGAAAAAACTGAACTCAATCGTCTCTGGTTATACTCTAGGTTTGTATTGTAGATTGGTATTGATTCGTAAGCTGCATTAACGTGACGAGCTTTGCTTTTGATTATCATGACATACCAAGAACAGGTTCGTGCGAACCCCCCTGATCGACTAGCAAATGTCACACTTCATATAACTTAAAATTATCAGTCACTAACAATACGCAACAATAGAAAAGTCTGTACAGAACTATACAACCTGGCAATAATATTATTGAAAGTAACCTTGATTGACTTGATTATCTTCAAACCTTCGAATCGATTTATTGTATGTGATTTGAAAAAAATAATGGGTTCTCTTTGGACTAACAAGATACTCCCACATTTTCGAGAATGAATACGTAAGCTGCATTAACATTAAATTCCGGAACTTCAAATATAATGCTATATAATCGTCAGCTGCTGTGTAGGCTACATTAATCATATGCTGCGGTCGCCTAACATCTGGAGCAAATAAAAAAAAATAGAAAAACGGGTTTGCTGATTATCAAGACATTACATGAGCCAATATCCGACCAGTCCAACTAACTTACGGTCTAACTTAACAATTGAAAAACGGACTAACTAGCTGTTAAAAATTTCAGAACCACCGATAGTCTCTGGCCGGATCCAGCAGCTCTCACGGTTTAACTTAGCAATTACAAATATCAGAACCTCCGGTAGTCTTCGATAGCCCCCACAACGACTGGTTGTATGAAGCTTTGTTCATAGCGAAAGACGTGAGCAAGCGTCGCATAAGAAAATTCATAGCCTGATTCTAACCATTGTCGCTGACTTAATACATTTACCAGGAAATTATGATTCAAATAAACAGCGCTCCCAAGGGTAAAATTAAACATCTTCATTCTATTTCTTCATTTCTTCTTCATTCTATTCATTCTCCAGAGTCATTGTCGCTAACTTAACATTTACCAAGACATTTTGGTTCAAATAAACAATGCTACCACGGGTAAAATTATACATCTTCATTCTATTTTAGGAAAATGGATCGCCGACGACGAAGTGATATTCTGGATTGTGAAACTTCGTGCATCAATTATGACATTCACGGGTGCAGAGGATTTCTGTATACAACACGGATCGACTCTTCCCATTATGAGGAATGAGGAAGAATTTGACGCGATCAACAAAATGATACGCAACGGGCTTCCCCAGTACGGGAGGGTATCGTTCTGGACCGGCCTTACATATGATATCACGGTGAGAACTGGTTATGGCTACACGAAATACCAAATTATACAGCTGAATTGTTTATATATTTGGAAAGCATACATTAAAGTTTTTCTCAATTTGTTGTTATTGGACACAAAATGTACATATGGATTGTTTTCTTAAATTGTTGATGTTGTTAGTATTTTTGTTGTTGTTCAGAAAAAATTCTTTTCATATCAATTACTGGGCCAATTGGTTAAAGATTGTTGTTGTCACTAAAAGGCTATTACTTTTTTTGATTGTCAAAATTAAAAAATAATGGAATACTACAGGTACTGTGGAAGATTTGATACTACTTCGTTTGGCCTTGTGTCCATACATTTTGAGAATTGTTTTCTTGTTTTATCAGGATTTTCATGTCATATTTTTGTTACAGACAAACACAATTGTAAAAGATGGTTCATTCACTCAATGGGAAAACGGATATCCGTCGAAATCCCCCTATAGTGAAAATGTGTTCATCAACGTAGCCAAAGATCCAAACGAAAGTTACCAAGGAATGAGGAACTGGCAATATTCGATCCCGCTAAATGCTGTACTTTGTCAGATATGAAAGTCAAAAATCATGCCTACATATTATCAATGAAATTAAACAGTCGATGCCCAAAACTACCTTGCTGTACATATTTTGGCATTTATAAAACATTCGCTTTATTAATTTTAACTGCTTTAAGTAAGTAAGAGTGAAATGTTTGTATTATTATTAATTAAATCATACTGTTTAACAAACTCACATGTATAAGTTCAAACTCATATATCTGCTTCCCCTTACAACGCGCTGCCCAGACGGCTGACCATGTGGCCCTCCCCTGACGGTGGGTTTCACCTTTTTTTTTTCAAATTTGCATTGTTAGAAAGCTTTCGCTTAAAATTTTGTTTTGCAAGTGTTATAATCCCCGCTGGTATTGCGTAGCATTTAGCTTTACACATAAATGTCTGGAAAATGTTCATAATGACACCGTAAATAGTTTTGGAAGAGTTTGGAGGGTAATTCACCATTGAGAGAATTATATTATTAATCGAGTTGCAAACGCTTTAAGTCGCTTTTATCCAGCTCCATTCTCATCTCAGATTTCTGTAGTATTGAGTTTTGGTCGATTTGTTTTGCAAGCTCAGGGTGTCCATAAAGTTTCTTCCCAATTTCAAGTTTGTTACGAAGTGAGATCTCAATATATCTTAACCAGGTTTGTGTTTTTTTTTAACCAGTAATTCATTTAATACATCTGTGAAAGCCAAAACAATATATGGTATCGATAAATTCACTTTGCGATTTTACCCACAAAAATATTCTGCTTGGTTCATGTACCTAGGTAAAGGGTGCCCTTTTACAAGACACGTTTTGAAAAATGAAAAGAATCAGTAATAGTTTTGATGCCAGTAGCTGCATGTCCGTATAACGGAACTTCTATATTAGTCCACTGATTGTTAGATTAAATAAAGCCCGATTTTAATAGCAATAAATAAACAATAAAACAAGATTAAAGCACTTTTTGCCTTTGAAATTTTAATATGTCTTTGTATACATTCCTGGTGGGTCATCAAAAACAAGGATTGTCATGGGTCAATAATTCGCCGACCCTGTTTCAGGCAATGGGTATCATAGATGTACAGGAATTTGGGGCATCCACTAAAACAGGGGTCCGCAACTACGGGGTTGGGTCGCGAAGCCCTCCGCTCTGGGTCGCGAAACAATTTAAATTTTCCATAAATATGAGCATCGCGTCTGTGTAGCGTATTTATGTAACAACTTTATAAATCTCTGATTATAATAATGAATGTTTCCCCGTGTATACACTTCCTTATTTACTGCCGTAACATTGGCCAATCAGAATAAGTGCAAAATTGAAGTAACAATAAACGTTTCAGAAGCGCTTTCGTGGTTGTGAATATTATCTCGTTTTGGCGGTTTTCGCGTGTTGTTTGTTAGTTTTTAATTGTGTTTTGGTAAATATAAGTCCTAATCAAATAACTCAATAATAATTTTGCTCTGTCGGAGTTTTATTTTAAATGCAGTAATCAAAAATTAATCTAGAAATAGCTGTGATAGACTAGGCCAAACTTTTCTATAGGCACATGTAAATGAAAGGTTGTTGAATGGATTGAATATTAAAATGATAGTTTGAAACATATAAACCGGTTTATAATAAAAAATCATAAAATAATTTTGCAATGGTAGAGTATAAAGCGGAAGAATTTTGCCGGGATCGAAAATCGGGCAAACATTCATTACGTAGAAGTTTGCATTGATAATTGGTATTATCCTACTATCTTACACAATTGTATTGTTTGGTAGCAATGCGAGTTTAGCAGTAGTCGTGTGGAATTGCTTGATAAAGACAGTGATGAGATTTGTTCATTCTAAAGTAAATAGTTAGGGTGCTGTTACAGAACACCGCATGCACCTTCAGACATCCCGCCTATTTTCATTCATTTACTTTGTTTGTATTGCTGGAAGAGAATGATAGCTGCTGATTCGAATTTTCACAAGTTGTTTCAATGACGTCCCTCCCATAGACTTCCTATTTAGCTCGATTTTGCTTGTCGCTCTAGCTTTTTCTTCCGCCCTTTTCCTTGTAGATGGTGCATGTACATCACTGTTTGTTTCCACTTCCACTCTTTCTCCTCGACCACGCTGCTTTTCTGAACAACTTGCATTGCACCACCGCACTGTTCATATTATTTTCTCAATTTGCTGCTCCCAGTTAGTTTGTTTTTTTGCTGCCCCCTTCTTCCACCAGCTTGCTCCTTTTTTCTCTGGCTAATTTTCGGCCACCTTGCATTTCCGTGCTTTTGCCCGGCCTTTATCTTTCCCTTGACGGCTCGCGGCTCCTCAGATTACCCCATCTTATTTTGCTGCTGCTTCTCTCGCTCGCCTTTCTACCACATGTTTCCCTCGACCTGTCTCGTTTAATGATTCTTCTCTACAACTAGGTCTACTCCATGGGGTTCGAACCCACCCTGAAGCCTGGCCTCATGTTTGACAAGGTCTCTACGCTTCCCCTGAGCTAGCGTTACTAGTGGGAGTCAAGTGGATCAGATTCTAGCTTAACAACGTCATGCCTGACAGCTCGCGACGAGGCTAATTACCTCGGAAAGAAAAATTACTTAATTAAAACATACTGTGTTGATTCGGAGCAGATGTATTCATCCCTTGTTCATATGGGAATTGCGTGTGCGCTACTTTACCTGTTGGATGTGTGAATATCGTCGACAAGACGCATAAGATAATTTGAGTTGTGAATACGCGAACCAAATTTTGGACTGTCGGTGAAGGAATACTAATACCGGAGAACAGTTCATCAATTTGACTATATCGCTTGTATATCTGGTCGTCCTATTTTAGGCTTACTGTTTCTAAATTCATAAAACATCTCACGAAAAAATGTTGAAATTGACTTGGTTTGTAATGATACTAGAGAACTTTTTTTAACCGGGTTTATGTTGAAGTCCGTGTCGTCTTACCACTCGATTGGTTTCCCTAAACCTTGGAGCACTATTGAAAAATTGCCTATGGAGGTTTCTGTGATGTCCTATGGCGCCATAAGCACGTGCTTATTCTGATTAATGGTTAAACCAGCTCTGACTATGGTAATAGCATAGCCACATGCGGCACCAAGATCAATTGGCTTATCACATTATACCAAATATATAGACCAGTGGATCTCAAATTTTTCAAGCCGCGCAGCCTACTTAAAATTTGTCATGTCTCGCGGCCCGCCCATTTCATAGCTGGCTAACAATAAGCTACAAATAACATTATTAAGGCCTGAGTAGTTTTCTTTTAAAAAACACGTTGAGAATATTTAAGATGGAACGTAAAAGTGAAAATCCAAAATGAAATTATATAAAAAAAGAGCGTACAAGATCAAATCTAACAAATAATTATATTATTAATTAGCTTCACGCCCGCTTAAAAAATTATCTAAGCCCCCCTCCCCATGTGGGGCGCGCCTCATTGTTTGAGAACTACTAATAGATAGAAAATAAATCCCAAATGTCCGTCAGAAACAAACTGTGTAATATATTGAACAGAGGCTTATGCAGACTGCCGGGAAAACAGTAAATGTATCTTGAATCAACAAGCGATTCGACGCAAACTCATTTCACGATGAGAGTTCATAACCTTAATAACTCTCGCATAAACGAGCTCAATTACTGTCCGAAGATAGATCACGAAATACAGTTTCGATTTATTTAATTTCAGCTGATATTAAACTCTTCGCACAGCGATTTGTTCAGTATTTGGGAGTTTGCGTTTAGGGAGTGGGTGTTAGATGGAATATTTTTGACTTTTAATAGCATTTCATAAAGTTAGATTTGCAGATTTTTTTGCTGAAAGATCGACTAGTTCATTAATTATTATACAAACTGCGAGAATAGCTGCAATTCACTGTCAATTTTTGTTTGTTCGTCTTTACCTTCCCTTGCTGTTAGCAGAGTTTTGGGCGCTCCGGAAGTATTCGTACCAAGATGACGCACAATCTGAACAACCCCAACCTGGTACAATGCTATGTTCAGATTGTACGTCATCTTGGTACAATTTCTTCCGGAGCACCAAGTTTTGCCCGCTTTGCTTAAAACGTTTCTTTTGTTTTGTGTGTGATCAAACATGTGGAGGTTATTTTAAATAGGGATCTTTAGAAACATTTTCAGCCACATGTAAGTCTGTATTCTATAATTTGCATCACGAAGCACATGCACCTATTTTTTAACAAAAAGATTGATGTTAATACAAAAAAGGTTGTTGTTGAAACAAAAAGTAAAGTCTAGTCGGCTAAAATTTTAACTTCCATTTTCACTGAAATTCTAGGTTTAATTTCTTCCAATTTTAAATTCGAATATTTTGTAAAATGCTAAAGATATTATTGCATTGTCTGCCACCCACCAATTACCCAATTGTCTTCAATTACCGCACTTTATTACAAAACTTCTTACGCATTCTAGACACTTATTGGTGAGAAAATGAAAGCGTGAATATTAAAAGGTAAATTACATATCAGTGTTTCATTAAAATTTCTCATTTCTAATAATGTTATTACGGAAATAGTGAACACGCCAAAGGAAAGCTTGGCTCGTACGAGTATGTGACCCGAGTATCATAGAGGCAATTGAAACCAATTGCCTTCAATTACCGTACTTTATTACAAAACTTCTTTCGCATTTATGGTTACTTATTAGTGAGAAAATGAAAGTGATGCGGGAATATTAAAGTAGAGATTTATATAATATATGATACATGCGCGTATTAGTTTGTTTTATTATAACTAAGATAGTCCCTAATATTTTCTGCAAACTGCAAAATAACGCATCAGCGTCAAGAATAAAAATATGAAGACATGCTCGCTCCTGTCGAATAGGGGATGGGGTTTTATCATGAAGGAGAGGAAAGTTGATATGCCGAACCACGACCGCTCGTCCGATTACCAGTCCATGCCGGGTATGGGATTAGTTAGCTAGGTATTTGTTTCAGATGCATGGACTGTATAATACACATAAGACGACATTACCTAATTTGTTTAAAAAATAGAGCAAGTTTATAAACAAATTTTTATGACATAAAAACTGCACGGTATAAATAACAGCCACGATGTTAAAATCAGACCGGAATAGGACATTAGCTAATTTCACCTTATAGAAAAGCAGAGCAGTAGCATGACAAAAGTACTTTGACGTAGAAACTCTCTTTCTTTTACCAATATTATTTCATAGTGTTTTTCAAAGATATAACGATATCACAATATTGCACACAAACTTTTAATACTGATCCCAATGTCTTGTAATTGCTTATATTGCCCAGATATAGAATATTTAATCTTTAACTTTAACTTATCAAAATGGTAAAACGACAGATGTCCGAAACAGAGACAGAATCGAACCTCCCTGATCTCGATACGGATGCCAATGTAGAATCAGGTAAATTGAGATAATGACTTTACTTTGGTAGGAAAGACAGTCAAACGCAACAATATATGCAGGGTTGACACCGGAAAACACAAAAATTAAACTCAGACTTGCTTCAAAATTGGAAATTCATTTTTAAAAGATATTCAAAGCCTGTTTCGTTGTAGTAAAACCATGATTTCTTTGTTGTATTTTATCGAATGAGAAATTTATTTGTTCAACCCAAATCGAAGTTATACAAAATTCATACCGTTGGGATTTAGGATAAATTGACCGAATCTGTGCAATGAGTTTCTAGAAATGTATTTTAGTGTCTCTTGGGACGCAATAAAAGTAGATTTGGGAAAAATAAAAACTTGTTGACGTAGTCATACTGAAATGTGACGTCACGACCATTTTGCATCATGACGAGGGATGCAATAAATTACATTGAGTTTCACTGTATAGCATGACTTATGGAAGGTAATGCCATTTGATATTTCTTACAAATTCACTTATCCACTCTTTTAAGTAGGTTATTGAACATTCACATTTCGGGTTCTTAACATTGACTGAATACCCCACTCACTGCACGCTGTTATGATTGAGAATACAGGCTTGCAGGCAAAATTACGACCTGAAAACTGGCATGCCTTTCCTGAAATATTATTAGTTAGTCAATTATCTGCTCCGCTATTTGCTTATGGAAACTCTGTTTTTGAAATTTCTTTTTTGTTTCCTATATTTCAAATTGACAAATGTGTTTACTAATATTTTAGCAGGTTCTTTTGACGTTGAAGAGGAAGAGAAGCATGATGAAAGTCATAGCAAGATCAAAGATGTCGATTCAGGTAATCAACGAAAAAACAAAGAATTGGTGCTGGAGATGTTCTAGCTGAGCAGGGAGTTCCATGAAAATTTCTCCTTAATTAAAATGAGAGACCGATGCTCAAATATATGAGCTCGAAGACCAATGCGAAGCAGCAGTCTAACTTGCCTCATGAAGTAACATTACGGTCAACTTACGACTTTCGCGTAGCAAGAAAGTAACACGGGAGAGGTCGAAGAAACGCTGCAAATAATTTTTTAAATTCTCAAGAGGTCATCACACAAAATTTCGAAGTGAAAAGCGAATCATATAGAGACCACAGAAAGTTTGGAAATAAATAAAAGTTCTGGTCTTCTAGCTAAAAATACAATCTTTTACCCTATGTAGCCGCAATCTTCCTGGCACATTTTGTATACCCCTCCTAAAAAATGTTATAACTTTTTGTTCAATCGTGCGAGAACCTTCACTTATATTTCATTGTGAAGCGTGATTTGGCCGCTTTGTGTCAGCTTTCTCTCCAGACGCGTGTGCTATTCGCTCAACCGTGTTGCGTTGAAAATGTGAGATTTTTTATTTTTGAAAAAAGTTTTGTTTTGGTATCGATGTGATCAATCCAAGCGAAACCGACTCGACAACAAAGTCGTAACCTTCCAGACAATGAAACAACGAAATTTCGGGTATTAGAACCCAGCGGAAATTCAAAATTAGTAATAGACTTCTAGCGACGTTTTCCATTTCAACTTCCGATATTTTAATTGGGAATTCAGCATGCTTGCATCCCTGTTATTCCGGGATGAGACTTTTTTATAAATATAAATATGGCTCTAATATGATTGGTCAGTAAGAGTTAACATTCTTTATGTACACGTCTTATTATGGACTTGACTCAAAACAAAACCAATAAGACATTTTCGCGCCTTTTTCAAGCATGATATAGGCTTGTCCGAGTGTTTTTGCACCCGGGTTGTGCGTCACTCCTTTTTAGGCATATTTCCAATTTTACGAGTTTTATATCTGTAAATTTTTGAAAGCTAAGAAACATACAAAGGAATACGTTATTACATGAAAGAAAGTAATTTGCGCGGCCGAGCGCTCATTTTCCTCGCGTAAACACGCACTAATATTTACCCGCACAATAATAAACAAACAAGAACTGCGTTGACTTCACGAATATACCGCTTCGTTACTCGGCAGCTGTTTGCGCTACACCATTGCCTCTGATATCATTTTGTTAGGAAAACAAACACCAAAACGGCTATAACGCTTGCGAGAGAGTGCCGTTATCATAAGTAGTGTTCAACGGCCATAAAGGAAAGAGGTTCAAATGTTTGTTTACTATCGTCGATGAATTTTCTCACGTACGCAAAATTTCGTACATGGAGCGGTCCATTAGCGACCTCTTGCGTATAGAAAACAATTAATACGATTCAAACAAGCCTTCAATTGCCTTTCAAGCCATCTTGGTTAGGTGACAAATGCTAATTGAAAATATTTTAAAAATTTCCTACTATGTATAAAAATCAGAAGCTCGGTATACAAAGGCTGATAGAAACATAATTTGAGTAATTTAGAAAATCAGAAGCTACCATAAAGCATATTTATGATTACTTTCGTAATTTTTTCATTGAAATAAAAATTTTCTTAGAAATCTTTTGATATTAACATTTCGTGGTTTTCCATCTCACAAATTCTTTTCAACTTTTGTTATTAGGCGAACGAACATCGAAGCTGGCATTTGCTATTCCAGTATTAATAGTCCTCGTAATTGGATTAGCGATTGGATGGACAATAAGTAAGATTAATTCTTTAGTATGAATCGTGGCCTATTCGAGTTGGTGCTCCTGTCAAACAAGTAAAACATGATTAGCTCCCAATTGGCGTACGATCTTTCAATCCCCCCCCCCCTCCTTGATGAAACGTTTTCAATAAGACTTGTTTTCCACGAACTTCTGTTAAAAATAATTCTTTACGTCATAGTTTTTCAGATCATATTAACCTGGGCGGGTTCAAGTTTTGGATCAATAAGTCTTCAAAGCAATAACTATTTTGGATAATTTTTACAAAGCCCCCGCTAAAAAAACGCCTGTTCCACCCATCAAAATAAGAGAAGTAGTAATTATACAGTTGGGGTTTGGATGAATGCAGGTTGCGCTGGAAATTAAAATTATTCCCAAAACCTAGCCCTTACTGGATAATTAGTAGCGGGCGGGGGTATTTTCTCAAATCTAACGTTTTTGCATTAATGGAAGAGAAAAACGAATACATGTACATATGTAATAATAAAATTAATGAAAAAATATACAATTAGCAACAGATAGCAAATTATGGAATTGAATCCGAATGGAACTCTAAACGATTAGTTGCCATAGAAACCATAATATTTCGGAAATATGCAATATACCCAATGACGTCAGCTAGGTTTTTAATTCGAAATCTTATTTCTACAGCATCATTAAACAAAGATCAATACTCGAAAGACCAGACCAACTACATAGAAAAACTTAACGCAATAATTGAAGACCAAAAACTGATGATGGCCAACCAAAAGAATGAATCCCAAACAGCTATGGAAAAAGTTGAGGTTTTTTCGAAAAAACTAAACTCAATCGTCTCTGGTTATACTCTAGGTTTGTATTGTAGATTGGTATTGATTCGTAAGCTGCATTAACGTGACGAGCTTTGCTTTTGATTATCATGACATACCAAGAACAGGTTCGTGCGAACCCCCCTGATCAACTAGCAGATGTCACACTTCATATAACTTAAAATTATCAGTCACTAACAATACGCAACAATAGAAAAGCCTGTACAGAACTATACAACCTGGCAATAATATTATTGAAAGTAACCTTGATTGACTTGATTATCTTCAAACCTTCGAATCGATGCAATGTATGTGATTTGAAAAAAATAATGGGTTCTCTTTGGACTAACAAGATACTCCCACATTTTCGAGAATGAATACGTAAGCTGCATTAACATTAAATTCCGGAACTTCAAATATAATGCTATATAATCGTCAGCTGCTGTGTAGGCTACATTAATCATATGCTGCGGTCGCCTAACATCTGGAGCAAATAAAAAAAAAATAGAAAAACGGGTTTGCTGATTATCAAGACATTACATGAGCCAATATCCGACCAGTCCAACTAACTTACGGTCTAACTTAAAAATTGAAAAACGGACTAACTAGCTGTTAAAAATGTCAGAACCACCGATACTCTCTGGCCGGATCCAGCAGCTCTTACGGTTTAACTTAGCAATTACAAATATCAGAACCTCCGGTAGTCTTCGATAGCCCCCACAACGACTGGCTGTATGAAGCTTTGTTCATAGCGAAAGACGTGAGCAAGCGTCGCATAAGAAAATTCATAGCCTGATTCTAACCATTGTCGCTGACTTAATACATTTACCAGGAAATTATGATTCAAATGAACAGCGCTACCAAGGGTAAAATTAAACACCTTCATTCTATTTCTTCATTTCTTCTTCATTCTATTCATTCTCCAGAGTCATTGTCGCTAACTTAACATTTACCAAGAAATTTTGGTTCAAATAAACAGTGCTACCACGGGTAAAATTAAACATCTTCATTCTATTTTAGGAAAATGGATCGCCGACGACGATGTGATATTCTGGATTGTGAAACTTCGTGCATCAATTATGACATTCACGGGCGCAGAGGGTTTCTGTATACAACACGGATCGACTCTTCCCATTATGAGGAATGAGGAAGAATTTGACGCGATCAACAAAATGATACGCAACGGGCTTCCCCAGTACGGGAGGGTATCGTTCTGGACTGGCCTTACATATGATATCACGGTGAGAACTGGTTATCTCTTTGAACCCTGAAAGCCGCTATAGCGGCTTTCCCGAGAAAGTCTTCTGACGCTGAAAGCCGCTTTAGCGGCTTTCACATCCCGTAAGAGGTATGCAACTTTGAAACCTCATATCTCGCGAACCATTTATTATATTTAGACAAGTTTTACATCGTGTGAAAGATAAGCAGGACTACGTATAATTTTAAAATTGAGATAAAATATTGTGATCATCTTATGAAAATTGGCAAAATTAAAAAGCATAAAAAACTTCTGAAGATTGCTCAAATCTAATTGACAAAACTTCAATTTGTTTTTGATTAAACCTACTACAATATCGACAACATTTGTAGAATATGAAGATAGCTTTCTAGTGATACCATTAGATTGAACTTATGTTGCACCATTCAAATTTTAGAAGCATTTTTATTCGTGATTTTGTTTGTCGCAAGTTCGAGGCGACGTCAAGGTGACGTAAATAACGACCTAACACATTTACGCCGTTACGCAGCGACGTTAAGCAATTACGTTGGCACATAGCACGTTTACGTTTCATACGAGAAACACTTTTCCTCGCATGCTCGTAACGTCATTCACTCAAGTTCGTACTCGTGAAGCGACTAACGACTTAGAAACGATATACGAGGAAATTTACGCATTACATCCAGCCTCGAAATCTGTTCGACTAAAACACACAATACGCAGTGTTATTGCCGTTTTAATTGCATAAAGATATGAAAAATACGAATAGAAAAAATAAGGATTTCTAAAAACGGAATGATGGAACATATCGATGGATGCATTGTTTAGCGCCATTGCTGGGTTTTATTGTGCCATATTTTCTTTATCCGATAGATGAATACTATCCAATATTTCATCTGGACAAAGCTTTCGTTTAAAATCCATTGTAAATATAGCGATATCAGGAATGTAGCGTATATGCAGTAATTTCGAAAATCTAACGAGGCCGCAAAATGTAAAACACTGACCAGTTGAGCTACTGGTGCCACCATGTCTTCCGTGTACCCGTTATCAGTTTTTTTTTATTCAATCTTCATGATATCCAACGGTGAATAATTAGCCTTGATGTTTCCGGCGGAACCTCATAAATGCACGAGGATCAAATATTTCGTTTTGGCCATTCATTTTCGTCCCATATCCAAATAGTAAACGTATATAAAATGGCCTTCATATTCTAGCAATTTTACTATGTTCGATCAAAATTCGTCAGAAAGAGTTTTATTTGCGGCCGAGGATATGATACTGATGCAATGATGACACAATCTGAACTCAAGCTGTGAACGACCAGATGTGCAATTGCGCAATATACCTCACGCAAAGAGTTACGCACGAAACGTCGCATGAACGTTATCACGACAATGTCGTCGTCGCCCTTTGCGTCGTTACGCAAACTTGGCGTCAAAATAGTTGATCAATTTTGTTCGCAAACCATTTGAATCGATAGTACAAATTCTGCAATAAAATGAGTTATGCGTATGTTAAGAAAGTCATCCGTATATTCTCCGAAAGGTAATTTTGTATATTTTTCAAAATTTTACTTATATTGATGATACATTTCTAAAAAATGTATTAAATATTACCAAAATACAAAAAAATAGTAGATGGGGCTAAAAATAGGCTTACACATCTCATCAAAACATCTCGTGAAAAATAATGCCAGTTAAAAATAAAAGACTAGATAAGCTTTTATATGAAATATTACAGACCATCTGATATTTAATGGTTTAGAAGTTATTTTGATTTGAAATTAGGGATATTACAATTTTTTAACGCGTCAAATCGATGCGACGCCGTGGGAGGTCAGGGTGAGAGAGTAGCATCGTTCTGGGGATTCAGAGTTCAAAGAGTTAAGGCTACACGAAATACCAAGTTATACAGCTGAATTGTTCATATATTTGGAAAGCATACATTAAAGTTTTTCTCAATTTGTTGTTATTGGACACGAAATGTACATATGGATTGTTTTCTTAAATTGTTGATGTTGTTAGTATTTTTGTTGTTGTTCAGAAAAAATTCTTTTCTTATCAATTACTGGGCCAATTGGTTAAAGATTGTTGTTGTCACTAAAAGGCTATTACTTTTTTTTGATTGTCAAAATTAAAAAATAATGGTATTTATCTATCAAAATTAAAAGATAATGGAATACTACAGGTACTGTGGAAGATTTGATACTACTTCGTTTGCCCCTGTGTCCATACATTTTGAGAATTGTTTTCTTGTTTTATCAGGATTTTCATGTCATATTTTTGTTACAGACAAACACAATTGTAAAAGATGGTTCATTCACTCAATGGGAAAACGGATATCCGTCGAAATCCCCCTATAGTAAAAATGTGTTCATCAACGTAGCCAAAGATCCAAACGAAAGTTACCAAGGAATGAGGAACTGGCATTCTTCGATCCCGCTAAATGCTGTACTTTGTCAGATATGAAAGTCAAAAATCATGCATACATATTATCAATGAAATTAAACAGTCGATGCCTAAAACTCCCTTGCTGTACATATTTTGGCATTTATAAAACATTCGCTTTATTAACTTTAACTGCTTTTCATTGGATCAATATTAACCATGGACTGCTCGTTGATTGGTTGAAACGTATTTTTACAAAACATTGAATATATTCCGAACTGAACGATTTATACAAACTGATTAATTCAGAATGGAGACCGAGATAAAACGAGCAGAAATACCATTGTTGGTAGATGAGTGAAAACTCTGCCTGGGATTGAAAATTTGAAATGCCAAATATATGGTATTTTGGTAATACATTGCTTTGTTTTATCATTTGTAAAGACCAATATTTTTGACCCTTTACCGCATCTATTTCGAACATGCCTAATACTAACATTTATTGAATTCTTGATAAACATATACAGTTACAGATTAAAATGCAAATACTTTGATTTTAGAACTTTTGTTTTTGTGATTTTCTTGAAACTCCTTCCGAAATGGCATAATCAGGGACTCAAATACTGCTTTTCTCTGTACCTCGATGTAAGGTAAAAACATTTTCAAGTAAGAGTGAAATGTTCGTATTATTATTAATTAAATCAAACTGTTTAACAAACTCACATGTATAAGTTCGAACTCATATATCTGCGTCCCCTTACAACGCGCTGCCCAGACGGCTGACCACGTGGCCCTCCCCTGACCGTGGGTTTCACCTTTTTTATTCAAATTTGCATTGTTAGAAAGCTTTCGCTTAGATTTTTGTTTTGCAAGTGTTATAGTCCCCGCTGGTATTGCGTAGCATTAAGCTTTACACATAAATGTCAGGAAATTTTTATAATGATACCGTAAATAGTTTTGGAAGAGTTTGGAAAGTAATTCACCCTTGAGAGAATAATTTTATTGATCGAGTTACAAACGCATTAGGTCGCTACTATCCAGCTCCATTCTCATCTCAGATTTTTTGTAGTAGTGAGTTTTGGTCGATTTGTTTTGCAAACTCAGGATGTCCATAAAGTTTCTTCACAATTTCAATTTTGTTACAAAGTGAGATCTCAATATATCTTAAGCAGGTTTGTGTTTTTTTTTTTCAGTAATTCATTTAATACATCTGTGAAGGCCAAAACAATATATGGTATCGATAAATTCACTTTGCGATTTTACCCAAACAATATTCTGCTTGGTTCATGTACCTAGGTAAAGGGTGCGCTTTTACAAGACACGTTTTGAAAAATGAAAAGAACTAGTAACAGTTTTGTTGCCAGTAGCTGCATGTCCGTATAACGGAACTTCTATAATATTCCAATGATTGTTGAATTAAATAAAGTCCGATTTTAAAATATATTTCCTATTTGAATATGTCTTTGCATGCATAGTTGACTTGGTGAGTCACCAAAAACAAGGGTTGTCACGGGTCAATGATTCGCCGACCCCGTTTCAGGCAATGGTTATTATATATAGATCAGGCGTGCACAACCTTTTTGCTATTGAAGGCCACATTGCATTTATTTGTATTCAATACGGCCGCATTATTTTTTCACGACGGCCGCAGGTTGTTATAGATATAGAGGAATTTGGGGCTTCCACTAAAATACTTTGTTAGAGAATGATTTGCAGACTTGATATAATAAAAATGAAGATGAAAAATAGGGAAACTTTAAAGCGAATGGAAAAAATGGATAATCGTAACCTTGAGCCGGCTGGTAGAAGTAATCAAAATTAATTTGTAAAAAACCTCGAATTCGTGCACAGTCGGGATTACAAAACTCACAATTTGAGGTCAGGTCGTGCGGCGGAACGACTGTAATAGCCCAGGAACAATTTAGACCTCATACTATCGATAAATACTATTGTCAGCTATATTCTTTCTTATGATATATAGCTAAATCATAGGGATAGAATGTCTGTCTGTTCATGCTATACCAGTGGTGGACAAATTACGACCCGCAGGCCGGCTGTGGCCCGCCTAAGTCTTTCATCCGATCCACTTGTGTCTGTTAAAATTACGACTATAGTTTTAAGGGTACTCATGAAGTATGTACACCAAGATGTCGCATAACCTGAACCCTAACCTGATACACAGCCTGAGTTCAGGCTGTGCGCCATCTTGGTGCTCATACTTCAGGACGTCCGTTTTAAGAGTATAAATTTTCGTTGAAAATCATGATGAAAATCCCGTCATGAAGATCTCTAATTTTACATTTTATTTACATTAATTACTGTAGTTGTGGTCATGCTGTGCCAACTTCAAAGCGGTGTCCGCCTGGATTAACGTGTGCATTAGATGTTGATACTAGAAATTAACTTGTGGACGCGGTCTTTTTCTTATTATGCTCTGACGGGACAACACCTTCACAAACGAATATTACAGCCTCTGTTCTATATATCCCATAAACAACAGTCAACTTGATTGGATACAATCAAAAGTATCATTGAAGCTCAAGGATTGCAAAATCAGGTCGAACACAATAACACTCGCCAAAGATTTGGTGAGGAACGAAAAAAGCCGGTAATTAATGTTATTGTCACTCGAGTATGAGCAAACGCAGTACCAATGGATTTCTAAACAGTAAAAAAAATATAATTGTTATATTTAAAAGAACACGATTCACACTTGTAGATAACGCAGCTCTACTTATATAAATGTGAAATCTTTAACAATTTAACGAGTTTAGACAATCATGATACCACGCGATTGCGATAAACGTTATACTTTATCCCTATGAGGTCGCAAATTCTGTAAACCAATAAGCCCGGCCTCCCACTGAGCCTATTGTATTCAAGATAGAAAGATCGCATGTTTTTCCGGGCTCTTGCGAGCGAGCCGAATCCCAATCAGGTATTTAGTCAGGGTGGGACCAGTTCAAAGAGTGTACACAAACTCGGGATTTCAAGTTTGCTAGTCTTGTCAACTCAAATTGACTTACTCCATACTGTTTGGGAACAAATATTCCAGCAGTCATGTCTTCCAATTATGGGTAGTGTTGCCAAATATATCAGAATAATTATCTCGATGGACTTGATAGATTATTATGAAGAATTTCCCAATGACTTCTGTATAGGAATAGTGAGCTATCAGAGTAGAACCGATTTGCCTATTCGTTTTATCCTTTTTTTTTTATAATGTCGAGTAACGGAGTTCAATTTGTTTATCGCTGATATGGGCAAACTACGGCCCGCGTACCAGATCCGGTCCGTTGGGTAATTCAATCTGGCCCGCCAAACACAACCAAACTAAATCCGAATTATGAATGTTTTAGGCAAAAAATAGCTCAATGAATTTGTTGAGATTGCGAAAAAATTTAGTTTTGCCCCAAGCTTATTGTTTTCATCATTGTTTTTGTAACACTGTAGATATTTTTCATAAAATGTAACTTTTTACGTCACATCTACTTGGCCCGCCAGACTAGGTGGGCAAAATTATTGTCCTTTGGTCTAAAAACTTTCCCCACCACTGCTTCGAAAATGAGACTGGTAAATCTAGAAAATAGACTTTTCTTTTGTCACATTGATCACAGACATTTTTATTACATTTTTGTAAAGACGTTCATTTGACCAATATGGAAAGTAATCTGTTATTCTTTTATTCAAAATTTGCAAAAATCATTTAGACGACCGATCAGACCTAAAACAGATGAGCTTTCTGAGTTAGTAGACTTGGTTACTGAGCCGGAGACTAAAAACTTGATATAAAAAACTATGAATAAAAACAGTTCATTTACAACAGCTAGTCCAACAAATTTAGCAGACACGTGCGGGCCAAACGAAAGACTTCGGTGTGCTGGATCAGGCTCGCGGTTCATAATTTGCCCACACCTAGTATAGCATGACCAGACATTTTATCCCCTTGATTTAGCTATTTATCATAGCTATTTATTTTATAATATTATACCTGACAATAGTATTTATCGCAAGTGTGAGTTATAAATTGATTCTTGGTTATTACGTCCGTTCCGCTTCACGACCTGACCCAAACTTGTGAGTTTTGTAATACCGACTGTGCACGAATTCAAGAAATTCCATAAGTCAGCTCGAGCCTAACATTTTCCAGTTCACTATAAAATTGGTCGAATCAAGTCTGCAAACCATCCGATAACAAAGCATGTTAGTGAAAACCAAATATTTCTGAACATCTATAATGACAATTTCGGCCGGCGAATCATTGACCCTTGACCCGCAAAGGCATATTAAAATTTCGAAGATAAAAAATGATATGAAACCGGTTTTATTTTATCTATCATTTGACTATTATAAAAGTTCTGTTATATCTGCATGCGGCTAATGGCAACAATACTGTTACTATTTCTGTTCATTACTCGAAACCTGTCTTGTGAAACGCACCCTTTACCCAAGTAAATGAACCAAAGGATCAGCAGAATATTTTAGAGGATATATGAGAACTATATGCTAATTTTCAGTTTAGTATATATGGTGTCCATAAAGTCTTATAAAATTACAAATGGAATTTATCGATACCATATATTGTTCTGGCCCTCATGGATGTATAAATGACATTAAAATACCATCCTTACGTGACCATGTTTAACAAGACTTCGATAAATATTAGTATTAGGCATTTTCAAAATTGATGCAGTAAAACAGTAGATGAGTCAAAAATATAAGGTCTTTACTAATGATAAAACAAAGCAATGTATTACCAAAATACCACATATTTGCCATTTTGAATTTTCAATCCCAGGCAGAGTGATCACTCATCTACCAATAAAATGAAAAGCAATTAAACAATGGCACTTCGGCTGTCTCCATAATGAATTGCCCAATTGTATAAATCGTTCCATCAAGAATATATTCAATGTTTTATCAGAATATGTTTCAAACAATCATCAATCAAAGGTTAATATTGAACCGATATAAAGCAATTAAAGTTAATATAGCAAATGTTGATGATAAATGCCAAAATATGTACAGCAAGGCAGTTAGGCAGCGCTGGTTCTTTCCATGAATGATATGTAGACATGATTTTTATCTTTCATGTCTGACAAAGTGCAGCTTTTAGCGGAGTGAAATAATATCAGTTCTTCATCCCTTGTAGCTTTCGTTTGGATCTTTGTCAACGTTGATGAAAACATTAATATTCGAGTCGCCATTCAACGGAAATCCTTTTCCCCATTGAGTGAATGAACCATCTGGTTGAATTGTGGCTGTCTGTAACAAAAATACGAAGTGAAAATCCTGTTAAGACCAATAAACAATTCTCAAATGTATTGGCACATCTGAGGACCAAAACGAATTTGTATTAAATCTTTCATAGTACCAGTAGCATTTCATCATTATTTTAATTTTGATATTTAAATAAAAGTAATAGACTTCTAGTGACAACGGCAATCTTTAACCACTAAAAGTCTCAAAGCAATTGGCCCAGTAGTTTGAAACAAAAAAAAAATTTTTTAACAACAAAGAGAATACTAACAACAACAACAGTTTAATAAAACCATCCGAATGTACATTTCATGTCCAATAACACCAAATTCTGAAAGACCGCCTGTTTGAATTTTTAAGAATGCAATCTTAATATATAATCAACTAGCTATGTCACTTGGTATTCCGAGTAGATATAAGAAGTTAATTATCGATCAGAAAAAAAAATTTTAACACAAATAAATTGTCCAATCACAGTGCACAGCAAAAAAGTGAGTGAATGAATACCACTCAGATATTTTGGTAACATTTTTGTTAAATCCCAATATTCGTTATAATTTTAATATAAAATGCAATTAGTGGTCTACGAGGCGTTCAATCGTCTGTACTTTATCAAAACTGTAACACTATGAATACAAGAAAGCGATGATTAAAAACATGGACACGAAAGTAAAAGTCACAGCAGCATGTCACCCACTTTACCGCAGTTCTCCGATTTCGATTGACCATCGCGAACGCGCCCGCCACATGGTGCGCAAGTTTTAATTTTGGCGACTCCATTGCAAAAAAAAGAATCCTTCGAACCCTACAAAAAATTTTGAACTGAATAAATAGTAAGTAATACCTTCTAGCCAATTATGCAATATTTAACCAATGAAAATTATACAATAAGAAAACGAAAGTTTCGTGTCCAATAAATAATATAGTTCCCACCGGGATATCATAGGTATGGCCGGTCCAGAACGATACCCTCCCGTACTGGGGAAGCCTGTTGCGTATCATTTTGTTG